CAGAAGAAAAGGCGTTAGAAACTGAATCTGTTAAAAAAATACTTTTGCCATTTAATGATGACAGAGTAACTGAGCCTGTAAAGATTGAAAGGAAATACATAAGCTCTCCAATTACAGATACAGAGCAAGAGGAGGAGCTGGTACAAAATATTTTCCCTACAAAAGATATTCCCAGACCACTCCTGACACCTAAAGGAGAAAAGCTAACAAATAATGAGCTCCTCAGTGATCCATTATTTTCAGGTCAAGGATCGGGAGACGACCTTGCTGTTATTCCTTCTGTAGTGCCATTGGCTGTCAAAGAAATCATGAGTACTTCAAGTCCTCAAACTTCTCATCCTGCAAATATGGGACCCAAAATTTCAACTGACAAGACACAAGACTTTGAAAGAGGAAGCACAGAGTCAAATGCTGAAGTTAATGAAGAAGTTACAAGTGCTGTAACTGAGCTGCTGTCAGAAACAGAAGACCAGTTCCCCAGCTCAGTGATCACCAGTTCCCCAGCTTTAGCAGAAGAGAGTTCCAAGAGCTTCAGCTCTAAAGAGGTTAAAGAGATGACGCATTATTTTGTTGCGACTGAAGAACCTCACAATAAGGAAACTAACTATAGGAGAGGAGAAAATGAAACAGATAGGACAACAGCTACTTCTAAAGCTGTTTCTCAAGAGGAAACTTCACATTTGCTAATTAAAGATGGCGTAACTCCTGTTGCTGTAATACTGAGCGGAACTCCTAATCTTGAAACAGAAGAATCGCTTGTAACATCAACAACAAAAATGCCAGACAGAGTATTACCTGAAAGCTCTGGAGAAGGATCTGGCTGGGTTGGTGTTTTAGATTCATCTTCTCCTGATACGTTTACTCATTTGTCAATACCCCCTGTGTCAAAAGTAGAACTAAATGCTTCATCTAGTGTTTCTGGGGAAGTTTATTCTGAAGTTATGACAACAGAGGCACCGATAGATGGATCAAAGACTGTGATCACAGGAATAGCATCCCTTTTTACAGAAGAAAAAGAGATCGTGACAAATCCATCTGCTGTTCAACCAAGGACAGCTACATCAGAAGAACTAACAAGTGATACTGGGATATATGAGAAAATTATTCCCATGATTGATGATAAAAGAAGTGTTTTATTGAATGTTTCTGTTTATGGTGATATTACACTAATTGAAGAACGACTTCAAATCCCATCAGAAGAAACAACTATTATAGATATGGATCACTCAAAATCAATGCCTGAAGATATAATAAGTGTGCAGACAATGCCAAATCCTGTCATAAAATCAACATATGGTGGTGATGGTAGCATGACAGCTGAAGGGGAGAAATACAATTCAACACCTAAATTTTCCATAACCAAAGAGAAAGCACTTGGATCTGGTGACAGTCTTTCTTTGACTACTTCCAGTCAGCCAGGTAGTGGATCAGTAGCAGCTGGGCACAGACCAAAACCAGATGACAAGGATTTGGGTTCAGGGAATGCCATGAAGTTTGCAACAGAATCTCTCGTCACTACCGAACTCTCTGAACTGGGCATTTTCCTTCCCACAGCACCATCACTGGCAAGCCCTCATGTGCCTCATGAGTCTAAACATGTAACAAGCACAACAGAAGACACCTATGAGCTGAATACTTCAGCAAGCAACCGAGTAATAGCAGATCAAAGTGAAACGATCTCTGTCTCTGGCTTTTCTGGAATGGGCCAAGAAGAACTCGGTGATAAGCAGCCTGTGGTTCCTTCTGTAACACCAGTTTTAATTACTGAGAGAGAAAAGGCTTTGACAACTGACATGCTTGATTCAAGTATTGTCACCACACAGAGTACATCCCAACTGACAACTGTATCATCTAACAGGAATGAAGAAAAGCATCCTACAGTATACACAAGCACAAAATTGGCATCAGCAGAGTATGAAGAAACAGATTCAGTGAGCTTTTATTCTGTACCTCAAACTCCTAAATCCTCAGTAACTGTTCAGTTAGTTAATGGAGTATCTGAGTATCCTGAGGTAATCATTCCAAGTACATCATCATCACAGGATTCAGATCAGTCCTATCATTCATCGGAAGGAACCTTCAAAGAGGTTAGTTCTGATATTGCAGCAACATATAAACCACCCACTACAGACCTTCTCGACAGAACAGAGTCTTCTCTGCTGGAGTTTTCTCCCAAGCCTGTTTCAGAAAGCACAACTACTGAAAGTACTCCTCACTTTAATAGGCTTGTAACAGATAGGACAGAGGAGACAGAAACCTCTGTAACTGATTTGGCTGTTGAGGAAGAAGCTACCATTTCTGGAGATTCTCCATCAATACATGTCTTGCCCACTGCTTTTCTGAATTTTGGAGAAAGAGCGAGCACAGATGTTCCAAAAGTTAGCACCATAAAAGTTGAAGCTTCCTCAGGAAGAGTGAACAACCCCCGTCAAGAAGATGACAGGAGTACTGAGAGAGAAATCCCATGGCTTTTTTCCACACCTGTTTCAGATTCACCCAAAAGTATTGAAAGTGAAGTATTTAAACCTTACCAGGAAGCAGTTACAATGCTAGCTTCATCTTCACAACCTTTGGATAGAAGCACAGAAACACAATCAGCTTTGCTTGGTAGAGAGGAGATCACAACAATTTCTTCTAACATTGCAACAAACAGCACTGCCCCTGGAAACAGTCTGTATCAAAATGAGCAGTCAACGATAAGCTCTGAGGAGCCAAATGCTATTGAACTTGTAACTTCATCATTTTCCCTTCCGGAAGTCACTAATGGATCAGATTTCCTGATTGGCACCAGTGTGGGTTCAGTTGAAGGCACAGCAGTGCAAATTCCAGGTAACTTCCAAATATGATCACTGTCGTATGTGTTTGTTGTGATACTTGTAAATGTGTGTCTTAACTCTGATAAGAGGTATGACAATCAGAGCACCATGTGAAACAGCAACAGAACTCGTGAGCCTCAAGCTTTGAAATCAGCATGACTGTACCCCCTACAAAGTGAAGGAGGATGGGGGTACCAAAACTCAAGCTCAGTGACTTTTCCTGAGTGTTTGCATCATGGAGCTCTGGATCAGACTTGAGGTGACCAGCCAGTTCTAAAAGACAGGAAGGTAATATTGATTGTGGTAGAGAATTCAGCTGTAATTATTTAATTTTCCAATTTCCAACAGATAATTTTGTCTGATAGCTTTTCTGTGTTGGCATGATGATAGTACTTATACAATTGGATTATAGGTAGAGTTATTTTATAACATCTTGCAGTTGACTTAGAGAGCAGATCTAGTGCACATTTTAGGATCAGCATTTTCTACAAAAATTACCTTCTCTTAACCTACAAGATAACTTTCCAGACAAGAGAAAATCGAGACTTCACGTTTTCAGCCTGTCTGTAGATTTAACTGGTTGATACAGTGTCTGTCTCTTAAATTATAGATCTTTTTGTTAGATGTCATTTGCCACAGTATTTTGTTTTACATAATGGTTATTAGGCACCATTTCACCAAATACATAGATGATGCAGGTAGAGTCAGTATGAGTAGCATTGCTTCAATTCATATTTTGTCTAGATATAGCTGAGGAAAGAACTGAATTGGCTTAATTTTATAGGGTTTTCTATTATTTCTCCTCAAATAGTCCAGGTAACTGTCGATTTGAAAATGTTTACTGGGAAAATATCCAGTCCATAGGAAGACAAACAGACAGTAAACGCACAATAAACTTCATTAGGTGCTTAACATAGCCCTACATTTGAGACTTTCAGTGAAGCAGTCGTAAAACAAGCACCCTATTTTATGGATATGATCAGATTCTTTTCAGAACCTCCAAGGCTAGATCCTGCTCACTTAATTACAGTCCCAAAATTATGTAGACGGGATTTTCTTCTGGAGGCTTTCAACTGAACCTTCTGCTTTTCAGTGACTAGATAGGGAACTTGGTACTTTAAGAAGGCTTCTTTGAGTGTCTAACTTGCAAGGATAAAATAGATGTTACTTATCTTTTATTTCATAAACAGTAGTCAGATCGTTTTGGAAAAATGTAACCAAAAATCTAAACTTTTCTTATGCCTCTGAATTAGCTTAGGTTACAGAACTCTCTTACCCATTTTGTAAGTTTTCAAAGCCGGGGCTTTCTTCTTGTATCCCAGAAGGACTGTCTTCATGATTTTCTTCTAACTCTGAGAAGCTAATATTTAGAAATGGCTATCTAGTGCGTACTTGTTTGTGTGAGTGATTGCTCCTAGGCATTAAATCAAATGAAAATACCTAGGTATCTAAACTCAGTTGAAATAAACATCACTCGAAGACATAAAGCTCTGCAAGGAAAAGCTATTTAAATGCTAAGTCCCATAACAACTGAGGATTTCACAGCAGGTAAGCTTTTATCTTAATGTTTAGTTCCGTTACGAATGTATTCAGTACCTTTATTTGTATTCTTGAAATGTGTTTTTAAGAAAGGTGGGTGGGAAATATGCATGTGTGAAAACATCCTTTCAGGGAAATAAGACTTTGTGGGCATTGATTGATTAAATATAATGAAGTGAAACAACAGCAGCCAGCCAGTATGTTCTGTGTACCCAATCACTCTACATTAACTAACCCTGTTCAAAAAAAAAAAGCATTTTCCATTCATTTTGCTTATGTGTAACTGTTTTCAGCTATAATTAATTGTCATGTCATGCAAACTAAATCCTCAATAGAATATCATGACTGCCAAATATAGTACAAATTGCTATGAAAAAATGTAATTCTGAAAATTATTTATACTGGTTCAGAGTAAATGCCATGTTGTTAAAGTTGAAAATAGTGATGCCTGAAAATAAGCTTTACTATTTTACAGAACTATCTTATTCTCTCAGTAGTCTACTATGTTAACAGAGTTTCTGTAACTACAGTAAAGCCTGCAACATCAATGCAGAAATGAAGAAAGATTTCTTCTTCCAAAAAATCAAAAAGACACAAGTTCCTTGAAATTACAGAGTCAATTTTCTTTTTCTACTTGTTTAACAGGCCAAGATCCATGCAAAAGCAATCCCTGCCTTAATGGTGGTACCTGCTATCCACGTGGTTCATTTTACATCTGTACATGTTTGCCAGGTTTCAACGGTGAGCAATGTGAATTAGGTAAGCTGATGCCATCTAGATACTGATTAAGTTGAGTGTAAAGTTTCCATACATGAGATCTGCAGAATTGCTGTGTTTTGAAGTTGGAGAATACATAGACATTTGAAAAATTCTACAGTGGGGCCTTACTTAAGAAGAGAACAATAAAATGAAAGAGGTCCACTTACCCTTTTTCTCTCTCGCTATAAAGTGCACGGATGTGTATGCACAGAAATGTAAGAGAATTGTAAATGAACTACATGACCTAGAATTCATAACATTAAATTCATAAATACATGAAATAAACCAAAATAAACATTAATATTTGGGATAGTTCTTAAGAGCTTTGTGTAATTATTTGAAAGAATGGTAAAATAAACTAATCCCAACTGTGACTGGGAAGCTGAGCACTGAATGCCAGCTTGGTATTTTTTCAAGGAAATTGTAAATATGATGATAATCATATATGTCTTTGGTATAAATTAGTATTTTGGTAACTCTTCTAGCTGAGGACTTCTTCAAGCTGCCTGTGACATAGGCATTTACCTGCTATGACTGTGGGTTTCAAGAGACTCACCGGTACAGTTCAGAATAACCAGGTTTTCCTTCCAACCAGCAAGCCAAAGTATGATAAAAGCAGTAGTTTGGCTGTTTATTGTAAAGCTGGTTTAGGCTTTTGAAAAGTTGTAAGTTTCATTGCCTGATAAATACCATGGATTTACCTGTTACATGGTTGCCTGCCAAATTTGAAAGAAAAAAACTCATGCAACATTGCTAAAATGAGTTCAACTCATCATAGGTAGCTTGGGAGAAAACAAACAACCTCACCCAAAGGTTGATATCGGTGCAGCATAATTGTCAGGATTACTATGGTTTTATTTGTGTTCTGCAAGACAGTATGTGATTAAAAAAAAATAATTAGCCAGTGTTTTTCTCTGCTTTCCTAGTTCATGTTGATGAGTTTGCTAGTTCCCTAGTGGGTTGTTGCTGGTAGATATCAAGTTTTAGATGTTGCATCTTAAATCTTCTTCTTCTTTGTCAAGGAATATGGCATCCCCTGGTGGCAAACCAGAGGTCAGAGATAATAATTTTCTCTTTTTTTTCAGATTATAAAAGAATAATTTGGCCATTTCTTGTGCCCTAGAACTCTTAGTAGCTTATTAATGAATTGGAGTGGGACAGTCCATGGCTGTATGGAAATCTGTTCTGTGGTGCTTAAGAAAGTAAACGTCAGCATTTTTAGCCCTGGATTCAGGGATATTCTGGATACAAAGCATAAAACATTGATTTGAGATTCAGGGATATTCTGTATATAAGGCATGAAATGTTGACTTGAGATCTTTCCAAATGACTGGAACAAACAAGACCTAGCATAAAATTTGAACAGAAGTAGGTTTTTTAAATAAAAATATTTTTAAAAAAGCCTTTCACATGATGCAGCAATTATTCCTAGGATTGCACAACTGTTTGTTGGTTTGTAGATATGTTTAACTTCTCTCTTAAATTTTAATAGTCAGTCACTACCAGCAGCTCACTTTGGACTAAGATGTTTGCAAAATCTGCATTGAAATTTAAGCTGTGATTGTTTCAGAGGAACAGCACTCATTAGAAAACACCATATGATCTCTATAAAGAGACATACTAGCTTATAACCTGTGCAATTACATGCACAACGTAATTATATTAAATGAACTAGTGCTCCAATTTAAAAGGCGAGGACAAGGTATTTTAGCAGCCAGAGGAGTCGGGGAGAGACATATTATTTGTTTATTCTAGAGCTATAGGCTCAGCAGTAAACCTGTGCATGACTATGAATGTTACTATCTGACTGGTCATTTAGTGAGATTTTCTTTATGATGCTTTGTCCTTATCTTGGTAGGATTAGACAAGAAAGAAATGAGAAATGCAAACCAATAAGATGCCAGGGCATGCTGCTTTGCAGACTGAAATTAGCAGTCTGTTTGATGCTATATGATAAAGTTTCCAATATTTGAGATTTGTGAAGATATTTGAGGTCTCCAGTACTCGATGATAATTTTTTGTGCCATGGTCACACACTCAAGTTAAATTTTCCACCAGTACGGGAAATACTATACACTGCACAGTATCACTTCTTTCTCAGCTACACAATGAGGAATTGAAGGCCTAGATTTTAGAAATTAACTCAGAAGTCAGAGTGCAGGATATAAAATTGTGGTTCAGTAATGTCACATTTCCTGAGGAAACTGCTTCTTGGCTTGTGGATGAAGAGAAAGGAAGGTTGTGCCTTGTGAAATCAGTTATCATGCAAATAAAACGGTCACTTGGATCTTTTGCAATACTTCATTCTTCTGGATTGAACTGGTCCCAGTAATAAGTATGACTAAGGCTGAAGAACATTTCCCTTCTAAGAGGTGGGTGGATTATAAAAACACTTTTATCTTTGTGTTGTAGATATCGATGAATGCCAGTCTAACCCATGCCGGAATGGAGCCACATGTATAGATGGCCTCAATACCTTTACTTGCTTGTGTCTGCCAAGCTATATAGGTGCTCTCTGTGAACAAGGTAAGGTGTATTCTTTAATCTATGGTGATCGAGGTCATCTGTTTCCATTTCAACACCCTTCTGGAGTAACTAGGCAAAGCCTCCTAAAAATGAGAGGATGGAAGAAACTGTCAAAGTCTGTGGGAAGTCATCAGTGATGAGGAGAGATTATAATTTTTGAGTATGTTAGACTCCCATGATTTGTGGCTCAGGACTTTTTGTTTAATGTTACATCTGCACCATCTTTTGCAGATGGATGAGAGCAAACTCTATCCACATGCTAACCTGACTGGAAGTCACATTACTGCTGTACCGAATATAAACTGATATATTGGGCAGTTTCTGTGCCAAAATAACAACAGCCGTACAGTTTTTAGGTGGCTCCAGGGCAAGCACAGCCTGCTCATATTGGCTTGCAAACTACTGGGAAGACTCATAACAAGGTTCTCTCATTACTGTAGTGATGCTTATGGGATAATGAATGGGAGCAGAGTTACTCTCTGACCAAGCTTCTGTCTTAAAAAATTATATACAGTGTGAAAGACATATCAGAAACCACCACTTCCAACAAGCATCACTGGAAAGTAGGAGTAGTCTACTGAATATGCCAGATTATATATCCATCCACTGGGGACCATAGCCTTGACAACTTCATCCCAGAATTTTCAAATTGATTTGTTCTGTGATTATTTTAGGAAAAGTAGGTGCAGGATCACAATTACAAGGAAGTTGTAAAAGGCTTTCTAAACTGGACAACTGAAATCAGATTAAACATCCAAGTCTCTGTAATTGTAAGAACATTGCCTGCAAGAAATCCCACTGTCTTTACCAGAAATATTTACAGTGCAAGATGCTTAGTCAATATATCCACATAGGAGGAAGAATAGGGTAGCAAAATCTGTTCTGTCAGTAAAATTAATGAAGGCATTTCCACGGGAAAAAGAAATAGTGTTTTAAAGGGTACTTTCTAAAGCTTATGAAAATACTTTTCTCTTTTTCTTCAGCTGAATGGTTTTGGTCACAGATGAATGAACTAGACCTTTGGATTTGTTTAATTAATATTGTGTATTTTCATGTTGGTTTCTCATCTTCAGTGAAAGGCAGTTTGCAAACTCTTCCAGCTCAACCCATAGAGAATTGTTTGTTAGAGCTGAAAACTCTCAAAGCTGACCAGCTCCAGCACTTTTCACTGTTTAACTTTTTCAGTAGTCTGGCTAACCTTGTAATTTGAAAGGACTTTCTGAATCTGTTCTCCAACATTATAAGTTGACAGTGTTTTCACAATTCCCTTCCTCCTCCCCTTCATTCCAGCAAATCCATAGTAGCGAGTGGCTCTGAGTACCGTGGTAGCTTTAAGCTGCTTTTTATGACCAACCTGAGAGTGCATTTTAGGTGGTTAATGGGAACATTTCCTAGTTTGTCAATCAGAACCAGAGCCCTGCTCACTCAGCTTTGGAATTTAAATTTCCTCCACTTAAAGTCCTGCAGTGGTTTGGGAGTTGGGAAAAGGATTTAGTGCCAAATTTCCACTCCACTAGACAAAATAAAACTGTGTTGGTGATTCAGACACGGTTGTCTGGCAAGCAGGCTTTATTTCAAGGCACCAGTCCTGACCTCACTAGATTTAAAGACCAGCCAGAACGACAGAATGTGTACCTCGGTGCCACAGGAAAGGTGGAGTTGAGCATACTGAGATTATATTTCACTACTCTTTTTTTTTTTTTCTCCAGTATATACTAATCATTTTAGAAAGTTTTGAAAAAAGTCAAGCTGAAGGGCTTTCTTAGGCACAGTGCTGAGCATTCAAAATGCCATGGAAGGGAATGGAAGCAGAGAGCGTGCACTGCCTCTGGAAATGAAAGTGTGTACCGGTGCCACAGGAAAGGGGGAGTTGATCATACTGAGATTATATTTCACTACTCTTTTTTTTTTCTCCACAGTATATTCAAAATCATTTTAGAAAGTTTTGAAAAAAGTCAAGCTGAAGGGCTTTCTTAGGCACAGTGCTGAGCATTCAAAATGCCATGGAAGGGAATGGAAGCAGAGAGCGTGCACTGCCTCTGGAAATGAAGCTCAAAGTAGGAAACAACTCCACCGCGTCCTGGTCCCACGACACTGGTGTAGAAAAAAATGTAGAGCTCAGAATTTCACCCAAATGCCCCCGTGAGACTTTTCTAGACTAAGGGATCTTCAGCTGATGTATTACGCCTGTGTCAGCATTAGGAGGGGATGTCACCAGAGGACACTGCAGCTGCACATCAGGGAGCTTCAGCAGGTGGTAGAAGTTAGAGGAGCCTTCAGGGTGATCTAACCTAGGGTGAGGGAAATCAATCCTGAAACTCAGTGAGCTGTAATTGGCTCCCTGACAGCTGTTTTTCTTGCCAGGTGGAAACAGTTCAGCAGACAATCTGAGCCCAGGAACTTCTTCCTGAAGAGAGCTAAAGTTGTCTGATGTTAGAAATAGAGCAGCTGAGGGTGTTTCATTTTTAAACTAGGTTGGTAGCTCAGTAAGCCAGCATCACTTCTGGTTCAGACTAGATTAAAAGTGAGTGGAGTACCTCTGTTAGATAATATCCTCTTTTGCCCACCACATGTATCTTTTCAAAGTATAGTTGCATATTCTGCATGTTACTTGGTGACATCTGAACATCACTTCTTAAAATGCAGAAATATCCCAAAAACACTTTTTCAAAGGGTGACTGCAGGCTACAGTAGATCTTGATGCAAGTCTCATTCTGGGGGAACCATTAGTCTTTCCATTGTTATCCCTCTGTGAAAAGCCCTTACGAGAGCTCTTGGTGTCCAGACAAATGAGCCCAGAGCTCAGATCCTCCCAATTTTGCTGCCTGAAGCGTTGCTTTGCAAGCTCCATGTTTGGGAAAAGAGGAGAGGAGGATTGTTTGATACCCTGTTTCACACCAGGCTGGTGGAACCAACTGTAGAGAACAGTCCACAGGGACCAATGGGGTCCACTGGGGGACAGTCTGCGGCTGTTGTTGCATTATCTGGCCATCTGCGTTTGTGGTAAGGAGTACCTTCCTTCATGAATAGTTACATGCGAAACAACAAAATAGTAGAGACTTGCAATTTGAACCATAATTTGAAGAGTAAGTGTTCTTTATGAGAACTGGATGAGCACCTGTTTAGATTTTCCTTTTCCTTCTTTGGCTGGCTAGAGTTTCCTTTTCTTTTCCTCTTTTTGCTATTCTAACTGGTGTTTACCTGCTTTCAAGGAACGGTGTTTGTGTTTTAAACTTAAGATTTGGCTTTCTCTGCTGCGGGATCTCTGCAGGCACACCTAGGCTAGCCTGTTTACCAAATGCAGCTGCATGCGTGGACCTGTGTGCCAAAATGGCACATATGTGTTTGTTACGGGATGTGCCTCCTTGGGATAATACAACCAGCTGTTCCCTTCCAGGTTCTGAAAACAAAACAACTGGTTTTTTTAATCATCATATCAGGAACAATGTTTTTTTATAACCCAAGTTCATTGTTCAAATGTCTGTGATTACAGCCGGTCTCATTTGATTCACTTTGTTCCCAGGGCTTGGTAGCTTGGGATGGAAGTATTTGAGAAGGGCTCATTGCAAAGATACTTTCTGAAAACAGATGGTCTCTAACTGATGTCTTTCAGCTGAGAAGGGATTATTTTGAATAGTTACCAGAGAAATGGTTTCTCCTCAAGATGTGTGGGCTAATGGGCCTCAGGCATTTGTTCATTAGCTGAAGGCAGACAGTCACAGATAAAATTCACAGCTGAGTAAGACTCTCATTATATTCTGGTACCTGTGTTTCAGTCTTTATTTTCTTTAAGCCTCTTATGGAATTTCTTTAAAGACAAGGGACCTATTGTCAGCAGCTTATTGCAGCTGTTGAAAAAGCGGGACCTATCTATGTATTAAAATTAAGCGGTACCTATCTATGTATTAAACTTACAGAGAACTTTTTTTTTTAAGGCAGTGTTTAGAGATGTTGTTATACATATACAATTGCAGTTACAGAGAACAGAAGCTGTGTAAGTAACTCTGTGCACACATCACTGAAAAAGCCTGTAAATTGTCATAAATCTTAAGACTAGTCAGACAACTTTTAAAACACCATAAATATGGCAAGCAGTGTTTCAGTCTTTCCATCATGTTCTGGAATAAGGTTACAGAAAACTGTGATTACCTCCCTGGATAAGTATACAATGAACATGGAGTATTGTATTCAGTAAGTGCTTGCACCTACTCTACTCACAGGTGACTGGGTCAGAAAATTTACACCCACGTGCAGTTAAACGTCTGTAAAGGCATTAAAAGTTTACACCCATATGGAGCCCTTACCTTTGTGTCACCCTTTCAGCTTTGTTAATGTAGTAAGATACACACACTCAGGACGGAGCACTGCAGAGGTGAAACAGTCCCCACATTTTTACTTGCCTGGTTTGCGTTGTTCCATCCTCTAGCCTCCTGACTCTCCCTTTCCCCATTCCTTTTTCCCCTCTTCTCATCAACCTCTCCTCTCTCTCTCTCACCCCCCCCCCCCCCCCCCCCCCCCCCCCCCCCAACCAAAAAGCAAATCCTCTCTTCCCCTTCTAAATATCCAACGTATTTTATAGCCATCAGCCGTGTCTTTTTCTGTCTTTGTAAATTTGGGCTACGAACAGGTGCAGAAGAAGTTACTCAACTTTTACCTTTTGGAAAACAACATGCCATTTTGGATAGGAGGGAGGGGTTGTATGTGCACTGCAGCAGTGCATGTATTTCAACTAAGAGTACCTATGTCACTGTTTGGCATCCTCTATCTTAAGAAGAGAAATTTTGTTATTTATGATTCATGCTCAGGGCATTATATCTCATTCTTTGAACCCCGTCTTCCAGGTTTTGTGTTTTCAAGCCTCTTTGCCTCCCCCATGTGCCTTTCAGCAGATCTTCTCTCAAATCGTGCACTTCTTCCCTAGCAGAGGCCAGGGAAGACTTGATTAAAATAGCCTGGAAATGCTCTCTGGCCACGATTTTCTCAGCATGCAATGCTGCTTGTTATTATCTGACTTCTTTCCTGTGGGAAAAGGGAGTCCCTGAACAAGATGAATAATAAAATCTTAAGTGCCTTCACAAAGGACATAACACTGTTAGTCAGCATCGTGTGGTTAAACAAATGTTCTAGAAAGCCAAAGGCAGACTAAACTTTAAAATGGCCTAGATGCCAGAGATTAAAGCTGTATCTGCAGCCTGCACCTCATACAGAATACAAAGACGGAAAAGATAAAAAACTAACAAGTCAGTAGTATAGATTACATTCCTTTTTCATAGCTGGGATAACTCAAGGCACAAGCAGTTTTCTACAGCTTAACTTGTTGAAAATAGAAGAGACATAATCAGTGTAAGCTCTATTATGCCTTTGTATTTGATACATTTATGTCTGTACTTATGACTTTTAGAAAATCATTTTGATACCGGACTCCTAAGACAATAACTGCTGCATTATTAGTGTTGCCAGGAATTGTCAGAGAAATTCTGGTAAACCTCCGAAGTGATATGTTTGCACATTTAAATCCATTTATGTACATCTGTAGTCTAGTTTTTATCTTGGGAGATTTAAAATCTTTAAAAAAACCCAGGCACTTTGGTGCTTCCGGATGTGTATGGCCTCTTCCTGCTATAAATTAAGAACCAGCCTTGTGTTGTGAAAAAATTATTCCACAATTGTCTGTCAGGTGGTAGCTTCTCAAACCTAAGAAATATCACAGTTATAGAATTTGCAGTCATATGTCATTGGCATATTCTGTAATATTTGGCTTTTTCTGTACTAACGCAAAAAGAGCCCCTTTGGCCAAAGCATGTTATTGACTATCGACTATATTGACTTGCCAAAAATAAGAAATCCAGTTTCATCCCCAGAACATATCTATACCTCTGGAAAGGCCAGACAGTCGCTTTCAGGCACAGTTTTGTTTGGGGATTGATAAAACTTGGTAGGTAGTGGCAAATTCCTGTTTGGTGGGTGGGGTGGGGAAGGCCAAACTTTGTGCTTCTGTTCTTCAACATCCTGCAACTGAGGCCCTTCAGGGTGAGCCATCATGTACTTAGATAGCTGGAACTGGCTGTAGTCGGAACAAGCTGTAATCTTGTGCTGAAGTGTCCTTTATGATGCCATTTCATCCGCCATAACTCAAAACAGTCTGAGTGTTCCCTATTGTTTCTGCCATTCCTCCCTAAAACACTCTCTTCTCAGTGGCAAGTTCTTATCATCATCAAGCACAGCTCAGACACATTCAGGCATCATATTTGTTATGCCCATCTTATTAATACTGATTTTTGTCTGTGATTCATTCCTGCAGTGTTGTTGCAGAAGCAAACTTGGAACAGGAACTTTGTGGTTTCTTGCCATCTATTCTGTTTACAGCTGCCTAACCTTGACAAAATAATTAACGTCAAATCCACGGATTGTTCCTGTTCCAAGGCTCGTGTTTATTTCTCTTTAGATGAAAGGATATACTGGCTGATGTGAACTTCTGTCTATTATGCATTCTTATCAGTACCATCCCTCATACAAGCACAGACAGTGTGCATTTCTTTCATTACTTTGTATTTCAGCTTTACAGCCTTCCTTAGAAACTGATGCCTAAAGTTTATTAAGTTAGACTTTGTCAAGGAAGATGGGCTTTGGAGGAGGATTTGGAGGGGTAAGTTCAGAAAGATAATACTGCAGCTTTGCATCTGTGGACCGAACAATCACAAGCACTTTCCTTCATATTATTTTCAGTTATCAGTTTCTTCCAAACCAAGGTAATTCAGTACAGTCACGCAAAGACCTATTTGCCCTTGCAAGTAAACGTTCCCATCCCCATACACAGACTCAGAAAACTCAGATGAAATGTAGACTAACAGCAGTCCAACATCCAGGCATTTCATTCATCCAAAGTTATGGACTGAAGATGTCCTCCTGAGGTTGTCCAGGTACAGCTCAATTCGATCACTGGAAGTTCACAAAGTTGCCAGTTGCAATTAAACTCCTTTCATAAGTAATATTCTTGTGGCTTGTACTGAAACTGGGTAGACAGAACTACCTGAAAACGTAATGAAGTCTCAAGGATGAGTGTTGATTTTTTGCATTTGTACTGCTTAACGGGTCGATATCTTCTTGAACATTTGCCCTGCAGAAAATCCATCTGCTTACATAAAACATGCCTGTGTTTCACACCCATTGACAGAGATGTGATTTATTTGTTTGTCACAGACACGGAGACCTGTGATTATGGCTGGCACAAGTTCCAAGGACAGTGCTACAAATACTTTGCTCATCGGCGTACATGGGACACGGCTGAAAGGGAATGCCGTCTTCAGGGAGCACACTTGACAAGCATCTTGTCTCATGAGGAGCAGATCTTTGTGAACCGTATGTACTGTTAGGATTCCTCTACGCAGGAGAGGGCACTGAGGGTTCAGAGCTAGTGAAATATCCTCCTGATCACTCAGCTTTTACATCTCCGTCTTAAAATATACTTTTAGAATGTTTAAAAGGCACACTTTGTGTTCTTCATGTTTACTTTTGCAGTCAATGCAAGTTCCCTATCACTATTAAGTTGTTATTTGTTACATAGAAAATACTTTGTTTTTGAGGAAGAGAACAGGAACTATTGTTTTGGCATTGGAAATTGATGAAACATTTTTTTCTGGAGGCTTTAGATTTCTTGTGCCCCTGACATCAATGACCACGCCACCATATATTGTATTAGGTAGGCATGAAGAAATATTTCCTGTATGCTGTGTTGCACAATCTAGACAACACTGGTCACAGCCTAACCAGAACTTGAAAAATGTAGGTTAAAATACGTGCTTTTATTATTTTAATCTTTTTTTCTTTTTTTTTTCTCCCCTGTCATATGCACTCAGGTAGAAAACTAATCTGTTTTCTTTGGGAGATGCCATCAAGAAGGAAGAGACAGGATTGTTTTAAACTGTTAGATGAGAATCTGCATTTTTATAGACATCCCAAATTAAAATTGAAAAGCTGAAAAACAGCCTATAAATAGTTGCTTGCATAATGAGTAGAAGAATCTTAAGAACAGGATGTCTGATTCATTCTGTGCAAATTCTTTTTATTTTCTTTGATGAAATCTCTTCCATTTATGGGAAGGTTAATGAAAATATCCTTCTGTTTCCTAAGGTATTGGGCATGACTACCAATGGATTGGCCTCAATGACAAGATGTTTGAGCGTGATTTCCGCTGGACTGATGGTAGCCCACTGGTAAGATGCCTTTGAAATGCAATCACTCATTCATTTCTTTTTGTGGTGGCTTATCAAATTCCCACCAGCAATGAGGGAAGCTGCATGAAAAAATGCAGTCACTAAATATTCACCCAAGCAAACAGCCAGCAAACTCTTGTTTTGGGATAACTATTTTGTGGTATAGTTCTAAAATCTTATTCTTAGTTCTTATTATTGTACATGTGGGAGCTCTCAAAGCTTCCAAACCAAAAACTCAAAAAGTCTGAGACTGTAATTTAAGGGTCTCTGCTGGGGCTCGTTTGTGCTCTTCTGTCCTTATACAAGGACACATATGACAATTCTCCTCTCCCTTCTGTACATGGAAGAAAATGCATTTTTCAGACAAGGATGTGGCACTCAAGCTCTTGCATTTGCTGGGTCTGTGAGAGTGCACAAAGGGGCCTCTCAAGTATTGTTGGAGATTGTTCTAGTCTGTATGGCAGCTCTACAGCTAGGATGGAGAAGCAACCATCCTTAGGTGGTTCAGGAGGCCTGTAACCAATAATCTGTCCATAAAACTTTAAGATGCTATTGATACCTCTTATTGCCTTAAAACAAGAAGGAAAATCAGCAGAGGGAGAAGGAGAACACTCTCTACCCACCTTTAACTAACCTAAATCAAAGATCTGATGGATACAGGAAATGACTGAGCTCTTTCCAACAGTCTTTTTTGTAGAAGGGACAGGTGATTTATTGCTGTTTAACACCCATTGAAGAACATTACATTAAAAAACCCCCAAACTGGTTATGCTTATTATTTTCCTTTCCAGTTGTGAATTCTTCTTAAAGCAGAAAGCATCTGGACAGACATATGCACATGCTCACACATGCACGCAATGATCATTGCTGCATACCATGTGGCTACAACTTATGTAGAAAGACACCTGGGGCAAAACAGGCTTCATTTATTACCATTTCATGTAGATAACCAGAGGTTTAAAGTCCTCTAAAATGACTTGTAAATAAACCATTTCTTGGGAAACTACCATGTGTGGCAGGTGACAGCACAGGGGGGAAGAAAAAGATGATGAAACTTTTTGTTGCCTGATTGATTGCTCAGTGCATCTGTGGTGGTACCAATGCACCCATTTGTGCTTGGAGCCACAAAGTCTTGCAGGATGTAAGCAGAAGAGTTTCATTTCATTGTTTTCTCTTGCCTATCCTCATGTATTTTTGGGAGCACAAGATGGGCCATGGCCTTGAACTCTACTCATTCTGGATGAGTTCATTCTCTGTCTCCTGATGTGGCTTCTTACACCTCACTGACAGTAACAGGCACCCTCTGAGGGTGGTTTGGGTTTGGCTGGAGCTCAGTGGTGGTCCAGGCTGTCTGCAGTGGTTGGTCAAGGAGCCTACACTTCACTAAGGGATCTAAAGTTAGGTGAGATAAATTTGGGCATAAAGGTAGTGCCTGAAGGGGCAGCCCATTTTACAAGATCTTGTAAAACAAGATACATTCTTATATATTCCAAAGACAAATTTGGTATGTCACTGAATGATGAATTCAAGGAAATTAAAATTAGGGCTGAGATTCTATTTTTTAATTCAGGCTACTGGGAAAATGTGGTATTACTTTTTTACTTTAATTTTCAATTTTAAGAAATGAAGATATTCTAAGAACAGAATAAGACCATCTGTCCAACAGATTTCTCTTTTGATTGATCTTTTTTCCACTTTATTTTTCTTTTCTGTTTAACAACTTCCCTCTGTCTCTTCCTTTGGAAACAATTTAGGTGTCTCTTGAAATCATTTATGTTCACTGCTTCAATAGCTTTCCCTCATAAATTATTCCATATGGTTTCTGGATACCATGGTTCTGAGCAGCTTCCTCATTTGCTCCTTTTCCCTAGTTTTTAACTTAATTTTCATACTTTCTAACCACTCTTCTGGTAACAGTGATTTATTACTTCTCTAGTAATTAATAGGAACAATAACATGATTAAATTTATGCATCAGATGTATTTTCCTGATGATGCCTTAAAATTCCAATGAATTTGAATACTGTGTAGGTCAAAAAATTACATCATGTATGCATTTGCAGGTGAACAGTAGTCATTATAGTATTAAATGCATTAATATAATTGTGATCATAAAAATCAGCATTATTACATCAACACTCACATTCTAACTTGAATTTCTGAGATTCGAAGTAGCTCTTGCATGTAGCCAAAATCTAAATAACCTTGTGTTTTACATATCAGGGTGCATCTGTAATTCAGCTGTTTCTAACTTTGTTGCCCACCTCCATGCTTTCTCCAAGATAATATTATCTATCTACAATTCTATTCAACATTTCTGGCATAGAGGAAAATATGTCAAGTCTGCTGAGGATTCTCCTGATATAAGAGTTTTCTTGGAGATACTATCAGAAAAGTCACTCCAGCTCTTAGACAGACTATGTGTCTACAAGTGATGTACATTACTCTTTATCTTGATACTTGTTTGAATCTTCTGCCAATAACAGCTTGGTTTAATCTGAAAATCATGCTTACATGATTTTATTAGGTTTTGGATTTAAAAAAGAAAAAGTTCCGATGCTTGGTAGACTTAAAAGAAAAAGCAAGTGAACAATAACAGCAAGACATGTTGTGGATGGAATGGTTGGCCCAGTGCTGCAGTTGACCCAGTACTGCCCAGATGAACCAGCTGTGATACATTTTAGTGATTTCTTTTTCACGAGTTTTCTTTCTGAACCAAAAAACCCCCTAGAACTGGGAATCGTTGAACCACAGGCTCTATCATTGGAGATTATGGAACAAGGTTTGGATTACTTTGGTACTCATTTTCCATGGACATAAGGAAACCCACAACTTAAATATTCAGTATGTTGAAAGGAATTCTTTTGCCAGGTGTTGGCATGTATTTTATTAGTAATTTCTGGAAAAGGGATCAAATACCTTTTTTTTTCTTTGCACCTAAAAGGTATTTCAACCAATGAGTTCAATGGAAGGAAATCAGTCATTTTTTGACATTTTCAGCTCATGCCAAGTTGTGTTTTTCCAGATTTTTTAAACTGAAGCTAAGTGCCAGCCACCATTAAATATGATAGTTGGACAAAGCACGTACATGAGTTCCTTAGTGAAAACCAACAAACGTACTTCCAAGTGCATTGCACATCGTTTCTAACTACAGTGAGCTATTGAATACATATGCCCACCTTAGCTATTTTTTGTGAACTTCATAGTCATATACAGCACTGACATATAAAGCTTGTGCTCTCTCACTTCCCTTGGCTCTCAAAATACAGGAGGGTCTTTTTTTGAGCACAGTTCTTGTCAATTCATGTGAGATGAGGTTGATAAATTCTCCTTTGTCATTGGCCTAGTAATGTGAGAAAGCTTAAATTCTCAGATGAGGTTGCGGAAATTTCCCTTACCTCATGAATCAATGGATGATAGTTTTGCCCATCAAATAAGCAAGGGCCATTCAGTTCTGTGCAGTGTCCAGAGGGGTCTTTTTTTGAGCACAGTTCTTGTCAATTCATGTGAGATGAGGTTGATAAATTCTCCTTTGTCATTGGCCTAGTAATGTGAGAAAGCTTAAATTCTCAGATGAGGTTGCGGAAATTTCCCTTACCTCATGAATCAATGGATGATAGTTTTGCCCATCAAATAAGCAAGGGCCATTCAGTTCTGTGCAGTGTCCAGATAAGATCAGTTCATGCCCTTTCAGTGGGATGGGAGGTTTGTTTGTTTTTTAAGGCATGCGGGACAATGTGACCAAGATTTTAAAAAAGTGAGCATATAGAATTAAGGTTCTTACTGGCAAACCTACATTGAACCTAGAGTAGCCTTGACAGGCTCACAGCCCTACTGAAAACAGGGGCAATTATTTAGGTGCCTAGTAGTGGACTAACTATAGGCAGCCATGTTTGATATCTTGGCATTCTTTTTTTTAACCCCTAAAGAAAATACTGGCTGTTAGCAATTAATCAAAACCAGCAGCAGTCAAAAAAGCCCCTCTATTCCTGTGCATGTTTTTCATGTATCAACTGGAATTTATGTTTAACTTGCAAAAATAATGCCGGTAAGCAATTCTTGAAATAAATGAAGAGTGATCTTGTAAATACATGCTCTGATTCTCAGAGTTCCTCAAGGAAAATGTTGGTGTCTTGAATAATGAAGCAAGTACAATCAGATTCAGTGAGGAAGCAAAGAACAATATTTAAAACTTTTTGGTCCACATGATGTTTGTCCATATCTGTATTGAGTCTTCCTGTTTTCCATAACAAGAACTTTTAAAACAAGGAAAATTATCCTAACAAAATAAAAATGGGTACACTCCTAAATCATAGTATTGTCGGCTCTGCTCCTGCAAAGAGAACTTGAGGAGGCTTTTTGATCTACCTCACTGAAGTGTTTGATGCATAGTAATCTGTGTGCTTTTAGGGGATTTTGGCAGGTTTATTTCTTAATTGTAAAGTGGTTTTTAATTTAAAGCTGCTCAACAGTTTCCTGCCTTTCAGGCAAAATGGCATAATCTTATGCGATGGATAGGGTTGGGTTGTGTAGATAAAGCCTCAACATCTCCTGGTAAAAGACCCCTTTTCAACATGCTGTACCCACTCATCCCAAACACAGACTGGGCTTGAAAAGTGCAAAATAAAATGAATAAAGTAGTTGGGTCATATCTCTCATGCCCTAAAGTTTAATTGTCAGTCCAGGTGCTACTTTTCCATAAACAAATTACTTTCCAGGTAACTGATATTTCATTATGCTGGATTTTATTGGCCAGGCCAATTTGCTTATATTTGTCTTTTTTACAATTTCTTTAAAAAACAAAATTGGGAGCTTCTTGGCTAAGGTCAGAGCACATCTTCAAAGGAGCTCCTTGGCTAAGCTTAGGCTACCTTGTCCAATATGCAGAAGAAAATAAGCTATAATTATACTAAACTGTTGAATCCATTGCTGGCCACCCGTATGAATCTAATTTGTTCTGATTTGCTGTACTGTATCCGTATGGCAGGAAGCAATTTTTTC